GGGAGGAGGAGGAGGAGGAGTAGTAGTAGTAGAAGTAGAAGTAGAAGTAGAAGTAGTAGTAGTAGTAGTAGTAGTTGTTGTTGTTGTAGTAGTAGTAGTAGTAGTAGTATTAGTAGTAGTGGTGGTAGTAGTGGTGGTAGTAGTAGTATTATTAGTAGTAGTATTATTAGTAGTAGTATTATTAGTAGTAGTATTATTAGTAGTAGTGGTGGTAGTAGTGGTGGTAGTAGTGGTGGTAGTAGTGGTGGTAGTAGTAGTAGTAGTGGTGGTAGTAGTAGTAGTGGTAGTGTGTTCATTACTTCTCATTACCATTACCAGTATTATTATTATCATGATTGTCATTATTGTAAATATAGATATAGGGTGGAGGCTGGGGGTTCCCCGGAAGGCAATTGAAATTCTTTGTGTTCCATTTTGAAAAATGTTATTTTTCACTGTGTTTTACAGTGTTTTGTGCTCTTCCTATAACGTGAGAATATCAGGAATTAGTTCAACATACGGACAACACATCTGGGATATGTTGTCCGCTGTGTCAATATGTTCTGGCTTTTCCTGAACTTATATCATGTTTGCTTTTCCCATAGGAATTGCGTGTTTTTTGGAATCTCCGGTTTCTTTTGATAGACATAAAAATGTCATAATCCACCAGAGAAGCATGGACGAAATGCATATGGGCCGTTTTTCTCTTCACATCCACAAAGCCGTTTTGAAAGCATGCATAGGTGCACACGCCCCGTTCACTTTGTGTCGGTGGCATTTTAATGCTTCCAGCTAAATGAAGACCTGGGTCTCGGAGAATTGTGAATGTAAAAAAGCTGACAAAATATTGCGATGTTCAACGTAACAACATCTTCAACGTGACAACATCTTCAACTTAATAGCATCTTCAACGTAACAACATCTTGAACGTAACAACATTTTCCTTTGACAAAATGCAATGAAAGTTAACATCCCCCCCACCCCACACCCACCATCTGTATGCAACACCGATCTTCAACGTAACAACATCTTCTTCTGACGCAATGCAATGAACGTTAACATCCCCCCCACCCACCCCGTCTGTATGCAACACCGATCTTCAACGTAACAACATCTTCTTATTACGCAATGCAATGAACGTTAACATCGCCCCTCCAACCCCCCCAATCTGTATGCAAGAACGACAAAATAATACAAAATATGCATACATCATCATACATCTACCAGAGAGACTGAGGGTTCCTACGTCTTCCAGGGAACCCCCAGCCTCTCCCCTAGATATTTACTGTATACATACACACATACATATAATATATACACGAAGCTGGGCCCCCGGGCTCGCACCACGTAGACGGCGGTTTCGGGGTCCGGGATCTGGACGTAAGTCCGCGCCTGGGCACAGATCTGCCCGGAAAACTGGGAAAAAAAAAACGGGGAAAAACTGTCAAAACCTCGAAAGAACGAGCAAAAAGCTGGAAAAACCAGGAATATGTGTTTTTTGAACTGGTTGGGCTTGTGCGCAGACCAAAACAGGAGGATCTATGAGAAACCTGGGAACTAGAAAACTGATCAAACCTTGGTTTTTTTCGAACCAATTCAAGTTGAGGGTTTTCACACGCGAAAAAGGAAATAGCTAAAGTGAAGAGGAAATTCAGCAAGAACCAACAGCGGACAATATTGAGCAAGCAAATTGTTGAATGGGTTGAATGAGAATCATGGATTTTGCAACCCATCAACAGTCATAAAACCACTGACCTTCAACTAATAATTGCTGGTGATGGTGGAAACGTGCATGATGAGGGTGAGGCTATTCCTAGTATCCAGTGCATTACGCAAGTCTCAACTTCGTGTCAACATACGTTTCTAGTGGATTATGTAGCCACAGTTCAACACTTAGCAATTGTTTGCATCTGATTATATCCCGATGTTCTTTTGTTAAAGATGAAACCTCTCCGTCGGGAAATAACATCAGCCAATTTGTTAAATCACATCATGCCACCCAGCCATCCATCATGTCACAGGTGTGATGTACACATATGGCCTGTTCTATAGGGAAAATAATGATCAACCATCAAACTGAGATACCCTATTTTGAGACAAACCGATATGTGCAAGCTGCATCAAATGCATAGGTTGCGGCAATGTCCCAGGAGAAAAAATGTGAATCTCTTGTGGCGGTCTTTCTTGCATGAGATGCACACATATCAAAAGCCTACCGAACCTACAATACTTTCTAGCTTCTGACTAGATTATTTCAGGAACATATCTTCAGAAAGAAATCATCGTTGGATTTCATATATCCCATATAGTTCCCTACAGTCCCATAAAATCTTAGATTCACCATCAATGGCTGTCAAAACAGGGCAACCTTGTCACCAAGTCACCAGAAGTGACAGCACCAAGGCCTGTCCTGCCAGCAGTAACATATCCATGGGATATCCCAATTGTTGTTTGACCATGGGAATCGGATGTTTTGCCCCCGGCTTCGAAACTTGACCCACTGCAGGCTGGAAAATCTAAGACCGAAATAGAGAAGGACCATACATTACATTACATTCCATCCAATCGCATGCATGCATGCATGCATGCATGCATACATACATACAAGCATACATACATACATATATATATAGTTTATAAATATCTATATATATATACATATATTTATCTATATTTATCTATATTTATCTACATATATATATGTATACATATACACGCGTATGTCACGTATGTCGATGTATATGTCTATGTATGTGTGTCTATGTATATGATGTATATGTCTATGTATATGCCTATGTCTACGTAATTCTATGCATCTATTCTTACATCCAACAACAACATTGTTCTCAGGTTCTTTAGTGCAACAACGTTCACCACACGACGAAAGCCTCGCAAGTTGTCGCGGCGACGGAACTCCGCTAAAGCCTCCATGGCGCATTGCCTTAGTGACGATGAGGACAGTATGCCATTTAGAAATATATCGGACATTATACATATGTATATATATATATATTAGGAATGATAAATGATATTTAGTTCTGAGTACATGTATGTATATAATTTTCTACAATATATGTATATATATATATAGTATCATTCTTATAGTTGTGATAATTGATGGTTGATGAGTTACAACTGATTGTATGGAGGGGAACATTTTAGGAAGCGACTAAATTGGAAGTCTGAATGATACAGTAAAACCCTGGTTTTCTATAGTTTTCCCTTGAATCAACCGATCTACCCAAAATTGTTGCACGTCCAATCCCCATGTGCAAATCCCCGATGGTAAAACTCATGCCACCTGCCATTGCTCCCAAGGTCCCAAGCAAAGCATCCTCCTGCAAAATCAATATGGGATTCAGAAGGTTGAAAATGGGATGGTCACCAACAACACAACGGGATGTTTACCACACATATTCAATATTATATATATTTTTATATTGTATATATAAATATATATTTATTGATATATTGTATATACAATATATATATATTGTATATATATTGTATATATATAAATATACATTGTATATATATAAACATTGTATATATATATATTGTATATATATATATTGTATATATATATATACTGTATATATATTGTTTATATATATATTGTATATATATTGTATATATATTGTATATATATATTGTATATATATTGTATATATATATTGTATATATATATTGTATATATATATATTGTATATATATATATTGTATATATATATTGTATATATATATTGTATATATATATATATTGTATATATATATTGTATATATATATTGTATATATATATTGTATATATATATTGTATATAAATAAATATTGTATACAATATATATATATTGTATATATATATTGTATATATATATTGTATACAATATATTATATATATATTGTATATATATTGTGTATATATATATTGTATATATATATTGTATATATATATATTGTATATATATTGTATATATATATTGTATATATATTTTATTTATATTGTATTTATATATATTGTATATGTATAAATAAATATTGTATATATTTAAATATTGTGTATATATATATATATTGTATATATATATTGTATATATATATTGTATATATATATATATTGTATATATATATTGTATATATATATAAATTGTATGTATTTAAATGTATATATATATTGTATATATATATAATGTATATATATATTGTATATAAATAAATATTGTATATATATATATTGTATATATATATTGTATATATATATATTGTATACAAAATATATATATTGTATATATATTGTATACAATATATATTTATATACAATATATATATTGTATATATATTGTATTTATATTGTATATATATATTGTATATGTATAAATAAATATTGTATATATTTATATATTGTATATATATATTGTATATATATATTGTATATATATATTGTATGTATTTATATATATATTGTATATATATATATATAATGTACATATATATATATATATTGTATATATATATTGTATCTATATTGTATATATATATTGTATATATATATAATGTACATATATATATTGTATATATATATTGTATCTATATTGTATATATATATTGTATATATATATACAATATATATATATATGATCGAGAGACCTTTAGGTACCATTTTGTTCCGGTTAATTCTGATAATTTTTAGAGCCTTTTGGATAATTGAGAGGATTTGAAGAATTAAATGATTTAATCCTTTTAATCCTTTTAATCCTCCAGGGCCTTTTGGGGGATTAAAAGGATTCAAAGGACTAAATGATTTAATCCTTTTAATCCTTTTAATCCTCCAGAGCCTTTTGGGGGATTAAAAGGATTAAAAGGATTAAATGATTTAATCCTTTTAATCCTTTTAATCCTTTTAATCCTCCAGGGGGTCCGGAATTCCCGGCCCAAGCCCTTGAGAAATATATTTAAATCCATTTAATCCTTTTAATCTCTGGAGGATTTGGAGGATTAAAAGGATTAAAAGGATTTAAAGAATTAAAATTGCTGGGCTTTTCTTGGGATTCTGGGAGGTCTGGAGGATTAAAAGGATTAAAAGGATTAAAAGGATTAAAAGGAT